AGACCATCTCAGGCTGTGGGGACGATGAAATGAAATAGTCACGCGTGTGCAGCACTGAGTCCAGGGCCCGGCCCACATGGCGCATGTTCACTAGACGTGAGCTCTGCAGCTTTCTATCTGGATGGATTGTCAGCGCTCAGACGACGGAGCAAAGCACTATCACAAAAGAAGGGAATGCGGACTTTCGGTGTATGTGCCCTTTCAAACTCTGCTTTTAAACTGATAGGATAATATCATGTACATTCTTTCATTGCCTGCTTTTTTTCTCTTAATAACACATTATTACAATATTTTAGTGTTAAAAATAAAAGATCTGCAATATCATTTTAAAATACAGGATAATATTAAATTTCATGAATAACAATCATTTCTCTATTGTTGGACATTTTTGTAGTTTGCACACAGCAGTTAAAACAAATGAAGTAGGGAGCCAGCCCGGTGGCATAGTGGTTAAGTTTGCCTGCTCCGCTTCAGCTGCCTGGGGTTTGCAGGTTCAGATCCTGGGTGCGGACCTATACACCACTCACCAAGCCGTGCTGTGGTGGCATCCCATATACACAATAGAGGAAGATTGGCACAGATGTTAGCTCAGGGCTAATCTTCCTCAGAAAAAAGAACAAAAAAAAACAAATGAAGTAAAGAATATCAGAATGTATGGCATGTTGTAAGGATAAATATCATTTTCTTAATTTTTGTGTGTTACATATGTATATATGTATTGACTTGCAATATAGAAGGTATTTCCCAGCATGAATTATTTTTAAAAACAGTTTAGAAGCTGCTGATTTGGATTTCTTTCTCAAATTTTGAAATTTTAAATACCCTTCTTGGATATCTTTGGGCAGGTGTCTGATTTTTTTGTTTTAGGTTAACGTGCCAGCAATGGATTCCTTTTGGGTTTCTGCCACAGGTTCCATCTCAGTTGGCTCCACCCTACCCCTACCCCAATTCTTTCTTCTGAAGAGAAAAATGCTAGTTCTACTGGCTGTTTAAGCTTCAGCCCAGCCACCCGACGAGACTCGGGGCCGCGGAGCGCCAGGA